AGTCGATCGAATTCTGGTAGCATTTTCCAAGCGGTGGTGCGATTGCAATCCCAACCATGGCTTCAAGGCGACTGGTAAGTTTCTCATCCAATCAACTAGGCACCAATTTGAAATATTCGTTGTTCTAATGTTTTTTTTAGATGTCATCCACACCATTTGCTATTCAATTATGCTACTTAACACCGATCTGCACATGGCAGACATAGAACAGAAGATGACTCGCAGCCAATTCGTCAAGAATACGTCTGCAACAATCACTCAAGCTGTTGAGGAGGCTGTTCCTGATGCCTTTGAGCGCCCCAGCATCTTACCCGACAGGAATTCGGCGCTTCACGATGGAATACGGCCGTCAATTGACCCTCAAGATAAGAGGTCTTTCCGGAACTCATTCCGCCCTCAGCCTCGCGGCGAAGCTCAGGGTGGAGACGCCCACGATGAATGCGGACCGCTGGTCAAGGTAGCCTTCTACGGTTCGATGAAGGCTTGGGAAGAGCAAATAGAGGTTGTTCTGAAGAGCATCTACAACTCAATCCGAGACGACAAACTGCCATTGTTTGGGGCAGAACCAGAAAGGCATCTCAATACCATGCCGTCACAAAGCAGTCTTTCTGTCATGGGTATGCTGAAGAGGAGCCCCAGTGTTCTCAGCAAGGCGCCCTCTGAGAGTCAAATGTCAACGCGAGGCCGACTTGCCGACAACAGCCGCAATCCTGGCTCGCGATGGGCCTCGAAAAGCCGATCACGCCCAGGACTTGGACGTAATGGATTCAACTCGAGCCGGACAAGCTTCGACGACGCAAACTCACTGTGGAGCCCAGCAATGTCATCGGCGACTTGGAGCCGCTACTCTCTGGGCCGGACTCAAGGCTCCATGTCCCAGGATTCATTTGGCTCAGCAGTGCCCCGAGGCGACTATCAGCAATCCATTGGGTTTGCAAATGCTCTCAGCCAAGCCATTGTGCGCGATGAAGATGCAAATGGCAACGATAGCATGTCTCTTATGAGCGCTGAGGTGCCTGCCACTCAACTGCTGGATGATGAGTCACTAGAACTGGCTGGTCCTCCATGGATGAAAGAAGGCAGAGTGATGCATAAGCACCACTTGGATGGCGTGGGCAAGAGGGCAAAGGAGCGAAACTGGACCGAAGTCTTTGCCGTCATCCAAAGGGGTCAGATGAGTCTCTTTTCGTTTAATGCCCCCAAATCAACACGGCAAAAGAGCCGGACAAGAAATGCAGAAAAGGCCAATGTTGTAGTTGGCGGCGGTAACTGGCAAGATAATGCCGTCAGCTTGGGCACGTTTAACTTGCGACTGACCCTCGCATCGGCACTCCCGTCTCCAGGCTACTCACGATCAAGGCCGTACGTGTGGGCATTGAGTTTGCCTACTGGTGCTGTTCACCTTTTCCAAGTCGGAACTCCTGAGATTATCAAGGAGTTTGTGAATACAGCCAACTACTGGAGCTCCCGTTTAAGCACGCATCCGCTGATCGGTGGCATAAGCAACATCGAATACGGATGGAGCGATGCGATTATTAACAACTCGCTCGTTGGCGCTGCTAACGATAATGCTTCTATACTAAGTGGCGGCCGAAACTCACGCCCAGGCAGCCGTGCCAACCATGGTCGTCAATCGAGTGTTGCAAGTGTTACCCGGCCTTCATCTAGCATGGACCATGGATCTGGAGCGTTTACCCAGAGTGGCGGACGTGGTAAACTTCCTGGAGATCGCATCACTATTGCTGAATGGGCACCCCCGACGCAAAGCATGCGACCAAGCAACTTACCCGAATCAGAGCAGCTAGAATCTTTATCCACATATGTTAAGAGCATTGAGGATGACTTACAAAACCATAATCAGCTTCGTAGCCCTATGCTGCTTACTTTTACGCCTAGGGGTAGTAACGCAAACAAGGCCATGGCGAACTGGGAGCGCAAGAGCGCATATCTACTGAGAGAGATTGTCAAATTTAGAACGTATGTGGAAATTCTTCAGCAATCGGAAAGCAGAAGAAAAGAAATTCACAAGGAGCGAGATTTGGCTCGGCGGGCGGCCAGAGGCGAGCTTAACGACGGCGATATGGATCTCAGCGAAGAGGAAGGCGATGAGACATTGCGTCCTTGAAGCATCGCTACATGATTGCTAAAGAAACGTGTTAATTGCGTTTGTCTGCCTATTATACTTGGGCAGAGGGAGAAAGAAAGAAAGAAAGAAAGAAAGAAAGGGGAGAGACTATGAGCTTGGTTGAGGGACTGGAACTTTTATTTTCTTCCTTCCCCTCAATCTTATTTCGTTTCCGTGTTTTTAATTGTTTTTTGGCCATTGCCATTTTTGATACCTCCTATCTGGGGACTTTTCTTCTTCTTTTCTACTCAAAATAGTCTCGTTGATTAATAGTGAAGAGGGGGGGCACATATTGTACTATTAGTTTCCATTTCACTTGATTGTCTTTGTATTTGAGAATCAGTTGAGAAAGCGTTAGGAATGTTGGAAGCATAAGCGAGCATTTGTTTATGAAAATAACAAGAGCAACGACACCTGTGATTACAGCGGTCATTATTTTTGCGTTTCAGAAGCCTGCATGTCTGAGTATCTGTGCCAAAAACCAATGGAGCGAGGTTTTGCCAAGCCCATTATCCTTATAGATGTGTGTGAATCACGATTCTTCTCAATATTCTGGAATACCATTCGCCATTATTTGTGAAATAGGATTCAACAATCAACCCATCTTCATCGCTTCCTCCCCCTTTCGTCCCAACTTCAAATGGTAAGAAGCCAAAGTAAGAAAATCACGGCACCAAGGGGTGAAGACGGCCTCTCGCTTGGCAACGCAGCACTGTCACTGTCATCTCCGCTGCTCTCAGATTCATTTGGATTCTGTTCGCCTGTTTGAGACGGCGCGCCAGAGGAATTCGTAGCGGCAGGAGACGTAGATGAAGGATGCGAAGGCTGAGAGCCAATGGACGAGGACGGCAGAGGAGGAGGATAGGCGCCGGGGGTTGTTCTCTTGACACAGCCCTTGACTTGGATGTTCTGCCAGCCGTTTGTGCGCTCGTTGTATAGGTACTCGATCTCGGCGCCCTTCTGGGTCTCGTTGCAGCCGCCGGCATAGTCCTCCAGCTCGAGGGTTTTGAAGTACGCCCTGTAAGGGTTGTTCTCGGCGTCGTGGCCGTTCCAATCGGGCAACCCACCGGCCCAGACGACGGTGCCCGGGTCGCTGCCGTTGCTCACGGACCAGATGCCGAGCTTGACTTGCATGGGGGTCTGGGGCCACTTGTAGGCGGGAATGGCGTTGTCGTTGATGCGCCAGGACTTGCGGACGACGTTGTCGATGGAGAAGTTGATGTATGTTGGGGTCCAGTCGATGCCGTATGTGTGGATGGAGGCGAAAGAGGATGTGTCGAGGCGGTAGGTTGTGTTGTAGGTGTTGAATAGAGGCTCGCCATCGAAGAAGTAGTTTGTCTGGGCTTGGTTCTCGAAGGCGCCGAGCAGTTCCTTTTGTTTACATATTGGCATTTAGTCTTCACAATGATAGAGATACGTAACTGAGAATGGGATGCTTACCCAGTCGATTTCGTCACCGGAGTCAGATTTGAGGACGATGGCGGTGATGAGGCCTGGGCCTTTGGCGGCTTGGACTTGGACTCTGATTTTACCAAAGAGCATGTATTTGTTGCTGGTTAGAGTGGGAGCCTGGGCGTCTTGCCAGATGGTGAATGCGGCGCCTTTTCCATCGTTGTCGTTTAGGATTAGTTGGCGTTTGTCTTGGGATGTGGAGGAGTCGACGGTCCAGAAGGAGGTGAATTGGTCGCCCCAGGTGGATTTGGTGAAGTCGAAGGTAAGTTTGCTGGCGAATGCGGGATCGGGTGGGCAGTCTGTGTTGTAGATTAGTTTATTGTTCAATATGTATATGCTCTGTGCGAGTATATTACGGGCGTCTTTTTTGAGGGGATCGCAGTGAGATAGGTTTTTGAGGCTGGCTAGGATGGGGAGGGCCAGATAGGGGGATAAGAGGGCGAAGATGAGCCGACGGAGCATGTTTGAGGTTGAATTGAGGACTTAGATGGTAAGCTGAGTGATAGAGTAGGTTGATAAAGAAACGTGGATTAACAAAGAGCAAGAGGAGTTTGCACTCTGGAGAGTTTTAAAGGGAGGCATAATAACTTGGCCGTATGTTCGTTCGCAAGCCCTTTTTGCTTTTGTTTTGGACCTCTCGGCAGTATTAAAGTGTTGGTAGCATTGGATCACCTGGCACAGCATGTTTGGTGAGATGAAGTACAGGACAGGAGAAAAGAAGGAAAAAGAACCGGATGGCGAGTGAAGGATATGAGGCGATACGAAAAAGAGGTTCTTGTTGATAGTGACTTGAATGTACTATGGCGATGGCTGGTATACCGGAAGTATTGGTGTCACAGAACAAACACTATACGATTTATGCAACATAGGGATGGATGAGACATTCCTACTTATTTCAAACCAATGTGGCAAGATATGACACGTGTATATGATGCTGTCCATTCATTACTTCTCAACGGTTCTATATATGCATAAACACGACTGATCCCAACGATGTTACTCTTGAATATAGAAGAAAGGTTCTACAGAGCACTGTTTCGGGAATGTTTGACAGGTGACATCAAACAAATACCGGCTCCCCCTTAAGACAAGTAGAATGTTTCATTGCATCTCGGCTGCGGGCAAACGGATAGGCTTTTGCGCGGTGAGTTTTTGTGGCCCCGATTTGGTGGTCGGCCACAGGAGAGAGGGAGAGGGAGAAAGAGGACGTGTGTCGGCTTAGGTCAGTCACAACCTCGCTTTGAATAAGGAAAAGCCATCCGGCGCTCCAGGTGTAGCCTAACAAGGCAGTTAGTCTGCGTATCTCCTTATAAACTGAGGAGTAGCAGTAGTTTCAGTAGCAGCAGAGACACAGATGGAGAGGCGTTGAAAGAGCAATAGAGAAGTTATTTCAGATATACATATGTATACTAGTTCGATTCTATCAGCAAGTATCCAGCATGCTACCTAATGCCGTCTTTTCAGCACTCGAAATCGTCAACTCATAGGAGCTCTTGACCTCGATCCAGGACTTGGCGTAAGTGCAGTAGAAGCTCGACAGAGGAGGCTTCCACTTGTCCGGGCTCTTGTCGCCCTTGGAGCGATTTGAGCTTGCAGAGACGGCCCAGAGCTGAGGAATGGTGATGTCGTTGGCAAAGGCTTGACGCTTTGCCGTGGTCCAGTCTGAAGCACCAGACTGTTGATTGTGCGTGTAAGTGATGCGGCGCTGATATCGTATTATGGGAAGAGTGTAGATTGGTAGAAGACTTACAATCCATGCATTCTTCAGAGGAACCATGTGGTCAATGTCCACTTTGGACGCATTTGTAAACTTTGCATTATCGTAAGGGCTGATCCAGTCGCCAGACTGAGCCGTACAAGCACTGTTGACTACGACACCCTCGCCATCACGCTTCAATACATATTCTCTGTCATCAAGTTTTGTCAGCTCTTGACTCTAGTTTCGAAATGGTAATTGACATACCGAGCGTCACAGGTGCCAGAGATGGTGATCCAATGGGGAAACAAGGTGCGGTTGTAATCGCTGCCGGAGCCGGGGACGGCGACGATGAGGTTTCCGAGAGCAGTTCTGGCGCCATCATCCGAGGGAATGCCGGGCTAATAAATCTTGTATGAGCAGGATGACTTTATTTTGTGGTACAAGTAAGATGTATTGGGCTGAGCTGCTACAAACCGGTGTAGGCATGGGCACGGGCACGGGCATGGGCATAGGAGCTGGAGCAGCCCAGGCCGTGATGGCGGCGGAGAGGGCAATGGTGACGGAGAATCTCATGGCGGCTGAAATGCGTGATACTCAAGATGTGCGTGAAAGTATAGCTACCTCTGAACTCTTCTGGTTTCTTCGAAAATATGAATTGAGAGATGTCTCCTAAGACGAGCAAAAGCAGAGAGAATCAAGCATGAATTTATACGCAGCCCGGCTCCTCCTCTCCCCGCCTCGCCCACTGATACCCTACCTCTTATCTGACTGTTCTCCATCCACGTGTATATACTAATGCTACTTATATCAGACATGCATGATGGGCCCCGGGGGCCATCTTTGGCTTCATCACACACCATGTCTCAGCGCTGTGCGACTCACCAGAGAGTAAGCCGCATGAGGTTTTATCGGCTATAAATCACTCTTACTAAGTGCCAATGATCACCTGCCATATTCACCTGATAAATGGACTCGGATAGATGAGACGAAATAGCTCTTATTGAGCGTGAAATGCGACGAATCTGACCTTGCTATAGATAACTTGTGCCTACCCAGGCATTCTTATCAATCTGAAATTCCCTTTGATCTGCTGGCCTTCTTACCCTGGCCTAGCCTCTTGACCCAATCAGTACTCTTGACCGAAATATGCATAACTTTTAGCTAACCACAACCAAAGAGGAGAACCCTTAAAAAGACGCAGAACCAATATTATCAACCTTCCTGAAGCGGAAATGCCCACTAGTAATCTGATGAGTTACAATTCAAAGAGTGCCTTGTATTCCTGCTCATATTCTTCCTTTGAGATAGTCTTGGCTTGGTACTTTTCCCGTAAAAGCCGCTCGTTATAATCAATAAAGAGTAAAAAGTGCATCAAAGGGTCGTAGGCATCGCATCTGCGCATGCGCACGTGCACGAGCTTATCCAAGGCCGTCTCGCCATCCTTGTCCGTAGAGTTGATAGAGGCATTCATCTGGAGAAGGACTTTTGCATTGGCAACCGCTTGAGAGGTTTTGTAGTTTGGGAACTTCTGCAGCCTCCTGACGATCAAATGCAAGAAACTATTTCCATCAGTATGGATGTAGCTGCCGTCAAAGTTCTTGAATCGCAGGGTATTGGAGAACCGCCTGAGGTTGTCATCCCGGATGAGGGCCTCTGCAGCAATCTCTTGCGGGGCCGTACTATGTGGAAAGTGGCTTTGCAACATGTCCCAAATCTTTTCTTCGCCGTTAAGACAAGCCCTATACGCAAAGTCGATAGAATCCTGAGTGATATCCTGGCTATACTCGAGCATATTCAGTGGGGGCTTTGTATTGCGAAGGCTGCCGTTGGTCACCCACAGTTTGAAAACGGGGTTAATCTCGTGATGTGCGAGCCGAGCGTTTAGACCCAGAAGCGATTGAAAGAATGCCAATGGTTCACGACGGTACTTGACGATACAAGCTCCTAGAATAGAGCTCCCAGAAGGGAGGAGCGCGTTGACATCAGCTCCCCGCTCGATCACGAGTTCCTCGAAGAACTCTAGGAATCCAGCACCATTACCTCCCTCTTCTTTTTTCTTTTCTTTTCTTTCCTTTTTTCTCTGTGAAATAACCCCGCAAAGAACACCGAGAAGCGAATATCCCCGGTTAGGTTCTGCATTGACGTCGGCTCCCTGGTCAAGTAAGAGGTTGATGATTGCCGATGTATCTTTGATCCCATTTCTCCAAGTGATGTGCTGGAGGTCGTTGGTGAGGCCCGTGGCAGCGCAAGCCAATGGTGTGTGCAGCACTCTGTCATCGGAATGCTTGCCGACGCCGGCATTGCAGGTTTTGACTAAGAAGTGGATGAGTTCCATGTATTGCTTTCGTATGTCCCGCGTCTTTCCCTTGTTGAAGCATGTGATAGCCTGTATCAACGGAGTAGTTCCGAACTCGCTCACTGCTTCAACGTCGGCGCCGTTCGCAATGAGATCTCTGATCAAATCGAAGTTGCTGTGGCGCATTGCCATAGACAAAGGGGCGTCTCCTCCTGAAACGGGCACGTTAATGAGGTTGGAGTATCTTCTGAAATATGATAGACCAGCAGGGTCTGTATACCCGCGGCCTTTCTGAGATGCAATTATGTGTAGAATATTGATGCTGCCTATCCCAGGGGCAGAACCCGTTCTGCCGGGGTCGACGGTGGCGAGTACAGGAGAAGCGCCTTTTCTCAGAAGCGCCTGGATGATCTCATCATTCTTCAAGACAAATGGGACGAATAAGGGGCGCAACAAGCTGTAGCGAGAAGCAGTAGCTACCGTCTGATTTATTTCTCCCATTCTCTCATCGAATTCCTTATGGTCAAGAGACGGCTCCATATTGTAGAGGAATCGCTTTCCGAGAGCGTTGGGATTGGCCCCGTAGTCCAAGAGCTTCTTGACGACGGGTAGATTGCCGCGGACAGCAGCCAGATGAAGAGGAGTAGCAATGAAATATTGAGGCGCTGTTGAGCCATATGTTTTGTTTAGGTCGCCGCGATATCTGATAACAAGATCCAAGACTGTCATAACATCCTCATTGTTGACCTCAGCAGGGTTGACTGATGCTGCCCAAAACATAGCGCGTGGAAACCTCTCTTTGTTGTCTCTCTTGTACATGATGGGGGTGATAACATCTTTGAAGTACGCAGAAGTTTGAGCCAAGCGCCCAAGATCACCGATAGGTAGGTCATTAATGACACGATTCTTGAGTTCGGGAGGAAGGCGAGAGATTTGGTCATGGTTGGCGATGGTATACCGAGAGAAATCCTCATTGGCTGCGAAAGCAGCTGCCAAAGAGGCCATTTTGGGCTGCTGATGAAGAAAGGAAGAGGAAAGAAGGAAGAGAGTGCGAGCAGCTGCGGAGAGATGCATTTATAGGCCGCTAGAACCTCGATTATCAGGCAGGAAGATGAATGGATGGAAGGTTCTTGATCAAAGAGGGCTCAATCACCTGGTGTCAACTGGCAAACTGGATGGAATGTGGGATATTGCAATTAACATTCTAACTCCCAAAGTTGGCACATCTTAACAGCTGCTAGATATGCAAGGAAAAGATTAGAGGTAAGCATTCGTATTGCCACTCCCAATATTACACAGTAATTTCTCTTACTATTGGAATTGTATTAGTGTTCAATAGTTTCTCTACCTCAAGTGTTTAGCTGCTGATGTTTATAATAATGGTAAGTAAATAAGGGAAAAAAAGAGGGTAAAAGTCTTAATATTACTATTTTTTAAGAAGATAAAGAAAACCGGGAAAAGCAGCGCCTAGTATATCTCTTTAAGGGACGTTGATCTGATGTTGATGCCCCTGAGGTAATTGACACTTTACGAATTCGCTTCCTTTTTCTTTCCAGCAACACCAGATTCATCTCAACTCAAGAGCTCCTCTTGACATCACAGCCTTTAGCATGCCACACCTATAACAGAACATAAAAGCAATATGATATCTCCTGTCTCTTGTCAACAAGTGGCAGATGCGGCAGCAATTACAGTAACAAACCAGAGTGATGGTGATAGAATTGAGTTGCTGGACATTCTCCTACGTACACATCATACATATAGGAAAGATGGCAAGGGGTGAAAAGAAAACACCGCCGCCTATCACATACGGACTTGAAGTGGCAGACCGGTAGTGCTTTTGTCCACTGCAAGTATGAATGAGTGGAATAGTTTTGATGAAAGAGGGCTCAATCACCTGGTATCAACTGGCAAGTTGGATGGAATAGGGAAGGACTGTTAATTAACGCTCAAACTCCCAAAGTCGGCACATTTCATAGCTGCCAAGTATCAGAATTACCAGAAGTAATAGAAGGATGGAAGATATAAAATAGAAAGAGTATATACTGGATACATCTTAAGCGATGACATCATATTCATCAATAACACTCTGTGGTTTGACAAATGTCCCTAGAGGAGCGAACTTCAAGTGGTCAATCCCAAATCCTGCAGGACCGCCAATCTCTATCCCTCTTTGACTCCCTGTCCATTTATCGCTTGCAGCCAGCCCCAATACAACCACTAGCAGCCCGTATCTGTATTCAGGGGTGCCGATAGCTTCGCCATTCTGTGCATCAATGACAGTGATTAAGTCGGGCACAATGGCCAAAACATCTTCTTGCTGCTCTTCTTTCCCGTCGTCTCGTACCCTGAGAGCCGCAATGTTTTCGTTTTTGAAGGGAATCTTTATGGTGCCTTGAAAGAAGGCTGGATTAGTTCCATCTTGCTGTAGGCCATCGTTATCCTGCCTCACATCAACTCCTTCGATGAAACATTCGCCATACACATAACCCCCTCTAAGTGTCCTCTCGACACCCACAATCTTGCCCTTCCAGAGTACTCTACCGGCCCCTTTGCCACCACACTCCTCAATAATAGATTCAGCCACGTTATCTACCCTGTTTTCTTTCCGAGCACGGGCAACTCCGCGTCCGATTCTCCAGGCCTGTGATATAGTGTGCTCTACAACCCATCGCTTCGTCTCTGCTCCGGTTACTGGAGACTCGGCAGCTCCCGTATGGGACCCCATTTGGGTGAGAGCTGCTCGCAAGATGCGTTCAACAGCCAGGTCAGACGTTGCTTTCGGCATGACGACAACATTGCCATTTCCATCGGACATGGCGATGGGGGACCAGATGGGAGATCGTTCGTTGAAAACAATGGGCGTCGTCTGCCACTTTGTTGGATATGCCCGCCCCATCCAATCTCCGTCAACGGCTGGCAGGTTCATGTTCGTGCTAGCCCCCAATATCATCGCCTGGAGGCCATTTCCACCACCAATTTCGATGGAAATCATATGAGTGGCGGGCTGAGAACACATCTTAAACACCTCTTCTTGGGCTTCTAGCAGCTCATCGGCGGGAAGTTTCTCGATACCAACTGTTGGACTACCCACGCCGCCTCCACAGCCAACTTGATCATTGTCAGCAAGATCGTGAGGATTCACAACTCTCACGACCGCTCCTTTGCGAAGCTCTTGTTTTAAGCGTACTAGATGAGAATAGGGGGACCCTCCACCGCCGGTGCCGAGGATATAACAGCCTGTCGCGATCCAATCGGCATCTGTTTCCGAAATGTACCAAACGCGATTCTTCACAGTTGGTTTATAGCTGAGGATATCCAATTCTTTATCTTGCGGCTCTTTGGATGAAGGTTCCGGCGGCCTTGCCAGTTTCTCATACTGGCTCATGTCATCAATGTTTTCTTCTTCGTTCTCCGTTTCAGGGGTAAGGTTGACTTCAGTTTTTCCAAGATCAAAATCGCCAGCAGCGCGAACAATGAATCTCGTCTTATGAGCAATGTACTGAAAATGGGATAAAATTAGTGACTGTGATTTGTTTCAAGGATCCATATTGGGGGCCTTACTTGTAATGGTAGAGTTTCCTTTTCGACTACTTCCACAGTCGTAGGCGATGCCCCGGCAGATATCGTCTTTGCAATCGCCTCCTTGCTAATCTCTTCCAGCAACTGAGCAGTAGTCTTTGACTCTGTGGATTTGACGGTATCTACAACTGCACTGACTCTTGCCATGGCTGCGCCGATTGCGTTTGCAACCTGTGCCCATTCTGGCTTAAGCACTCGGCTTGCTCCTTTGAGCTCGTTTGGCGACAGTATAGCTCCGCCACCAACAAGAAGAACAGGAATATCCTCGGGAGATGTTTTCATCTTGTCAATGGCTTTTTCAATCTTGTTCTTGACTGCGCTTCTGAACAGCTCAAGCTGCTCGACAGTAAACAAATCTTTGACAAGATCGGCATCGCCTATCTTCAAACCAGGATTCGCTTGCACTATGCAATCTGTAGTGGTGGTGATGGTGCCACCAAAAACAACAGACTCTTGTTGGAGCTTATGGCCAACGCTATCCGGACCGACAGTCAAGCCATTGCCAGTTCTGACGATGGAACCTCCCCCGAGTCCAATGCTCTTGATATCTGGGCAGGAAAAGTTCATTCTGATGCCAGCAAGGTCACTGTATGCAGCTTGCTGCCGGGGAAAGCCGTTGGCATGAAGCAGGCCGACGTCTGTAGTCGTGCCTCCAATGTCAACGACCATGACTGCTTCGGATACTTGGCCTTGGGCAAGAAACGCCGCGCCTCTCATGCTATTCGTTGGACCGCTTGAAAAAGTCCTGATGGGTAGCCTCGCTGCCATGTCTCCTGATAAGACCGTCCCATCATTTTGGGTGATGAAGACGGGGCAGTGCAAGCCGAGGCGCTTAATCGGTGCTTGGAAAGATCTGATGGTCTTTCTAGCAAAAGAAAGGATGGAAGCATTCAGAATGGCTGCATTTTCGCGCTCCAAAAATCCTAGGTTGGCAATTTCCTTGGAGCAAAGAACATCACAGCCGGGCAAGTTCGCCTTGATAATGGCCGCAGCTCGCTCTTCCTGTCTTTCTATGGTGTCAATCGGGCTGAAGACCCCATTGACAACAATACTCTTAATGCCCTTTTCGTGAATAATATCGCACTGCTGTTTAATCTCTCGCTCGTCAATGTCCGAAATGAGATTGCCGTCTACTTCCAAGCCGCCCTTCAAAAGTGCGTAATGCCCCAAAATCATCTGCCTCATGTCATCTGGCCAATCCACGCAAGGAGGAGCATGCTTGGAGAAAGGCCCGCAGAGTCGGATAACAGCCACGGTAGACAGCCGAGCAGCGTCTCTCTCAACGACAGCATTGACAAAGTGAGTCGTTCCGATAGTCACGCTTTCAACCTCGGATGGGTGAATAGCAGCGGATTTGAACATGGCAGTGATGGCATCGGCGATACCAACGCTCGGATTTATAGTCGTGGGGGATTTGTGCCATGCCAGGATTCCTTTACCTGGAGACGATGCTTGGAGGGGGTTTAAAATGACGCCGTCCGTGTTTGTGCCGCCGACATCGACTCCTATGCGAAGATGTCTGCGCGAGTCTATGGAAGGCATCTTGGTCAGAGTCAATATTTGGCTGCTATACCAAGGCAGGAAGTTGGAATGATGCTATGTGTCAAAAGATTTGTGTACGTGTAAATACCAAGAGGCATTTGAGCTGTTTATCAGAAGATCAGATAAGATGGAGATTGATAGTAACTTTATGTACCTATATCCAATCGGCCTCTCGGCTGCGGAGATGGCGGGGTATAACAATACACGTGGGGTGTCAAATGGAGCTTTATGAGAGAGATTCTAGAATTGGCACGGCTGGTGTGGTAGAGAATCAAAAGAAATTCAGCGTTGTCAATGGAGGCTTTGCAATTCCGGGGGAGTAGCGCCATCTAAAACTGCATACCTAGTAGAGTTGATATGCTCTGCTTGGTGCGTCTTTTCGTCTATCTACCTACCTACCTACGTACCATCACATGAAATGTATCCCTATTCATGCTTCTCATCATCCCACTTTACTTGCATCTCTGCTCGTTTCTACTGTTTTCTACCTATAAATGGCACTTACTTGGGTTTACATGGTTGCTGATTTGTTCCACTGTGTCTAGTTGTAGGGTACTATTTAAATGTATGTTGTATAACAAAGAGCTTTGTCTGATAATTAAAGGCAGTAGAAATAAAAGCATAGACTACTACTAGTACTCAGGCACCAATGAATTGGCCTCCTGGCACCAGGTAACATGAACCTGCGTCTTTTTTGCTTGGGCTTTATAGGCCCAGCCTACATCAATGATGTACTCGGCCTCTAGTCCCAGCAGTGACGCTACAGGGCACCCGTCCCTCTTTCAGAGCGCTGACTCAGCACTCACTGCCGCAAACGCCAAGTGCGCTGGCCGCAATTAGCAGCTGTCATAGACCAACAGGCATTGATGTTGATTCCAGCGACGTCCTTGGCTGCGTCAGCCGACCGTGACCTTGGCCAGGCAAACACGCACTTTATCAATCCACGGCCTGATCCGCCACTGCATACGCAAGCAATTACATACGCCGCTTCATTCTTTACTGCGCAGGGCAGCCAGAGGTTCGTCATTGCCTCTCGACCCTACGATTCTCTCGGCTGACGTATTTCAAGGACAGCTGCAGCAATCTGCCGACCTCTCTATGCGCTTTCCAAGCCTTTCGCCGAACGAAACTCCCGCCAGGCAGATACAAGCGGCTTCGACTCTGCATCTCGGCTCTCTGGCGCTCTGAATCAACATTTATCTCGAAGTTTTCATCAATATCAAGGAGCGCGGGGTCGGATTACGCTCGTCTTTGAACTTTGAGCATTCGGCATCAAGTGGCAGCCGACTGCTACCCCTCCGTCTCCATACCACCTTACTCCCTCCCAGAATCAACAATCTTTCGCTTCAGCTAGAGGCGCAGATAGCATACAATCATGGCCGGCAGGTATGATTTGCGGTCGCAGGACCTCGAGGCTAACGCCTATGCGGCCTTGCCTGGGACGCAGGCGGAGTTTGTTGCACACAATATGACGCCGCTCAAGTCTAATCTGGTTGGGCGAGAAACAATTGGTATGCCGACTCTTGTATTTGGTCTTCACCAATCCAAGCCTTCCAGCTAACTTTGCGTGTAGGGTGCCACCCGAGCCGGTGGATATACGAGCTGATCAATAATAACTTTACCATCTGTGACCTTTTCCAGCGAGCTCGGGAAGCCAAGCTGGACAGTCACTATGCATGGGATCACCCACATCAGCTAGTCATCAATGGGAACCAGTCTTACTCGACATCGTCGTCAAAGCTTTTATCCGCCATCTGTTTGGAGTGCCATTATCACTTCTTATTCCTGGTGGAATGGGAACAAGAGCATACAGATGTTTTGTGCCACCATAGCCATAGTGACTGGCCCATTGGAGATACTCAGTTTCCCTGGCATCATCTAGTCTGGGCTCCAGCTGAGAACGACGCTGAGATTACTCGAGATCGATCAAAATACTATCCGCTGCTAGCTCGCGAATCCTTTGCCTGCTTGGCTCCGTCATGCACGTTCCAGGTTACCCTTGAAATATCAGAACCGCGGATGGCCTCGTGGTGGGTAAATCTCTTGCTAGACCATGAGACTATTCTTCAACAATTGAACGCCGCGCGAAGGGATGAACCTACACGATATGAAAGCGCTACCGATGACTGGGCCAACCAGGCGCCGTCCAATCTTAATACGTACCTAAAGAATCTCTTGGAAACGACTCCCGAAACTGCCAGGAGTATCTCGAAGCGGAATAAAAGGTTCGCTGTTCTGTTCGGACCCCGTTGTTTCTCCATCTTTCGAGAACTTGAGTTCAAAGAGATCACCGAGATTAATGACGGAGTCGATGAAGGCTCATTTACACCAACTCCTCCACCGCCTGCAGATGGCATTTCTGGGAGCACCAAGGTGGGCACATTTCGCGCCTATCTTGAAGATGTGCGCTCTGAGGTTCAAAATCTCATATTCAAGTCTGGAAGCACTGCGGAACGCCCAACATTTTGTATTACTGCTCTGCATAGTCACCTGGGCTGCACTGAAGTTCCTCTTGTTAACACAAATCCCTTGGTAAACATGGAGCAATACAGGCTCATAGGAACTTTGCCTGGCCAGTCAAAGGAGATTGTTGTGAACGCCTATAAAAGGCAGTGGGAACTTGTGCCCTCTAGGCGAAGGGAGCTTGTGGACATGCTACGGATTATTGCGAATGACGCGGGCAACGAACTTTTGTCTGCCTACGCCATGACTCAGTCATCTGTCTTTGAGAGCCAGCTTCAAACGTATACGAACGGCGACGATGATGGGCTTGCCTCTCAAGCATTAGAATTTCTTGGCCTCAGTCCACCTAATAACTATAGCGCGGAGGCAACGATTCAAGCTTTTCGAGATAAGCTGGTGCGAGACCCATCTGAAGCGGGTACTGCGAGGAACATGCTTTTATTGATTGCCCGATCATCCAACGACGACTCTTATCAGGCATCACTACTTATGGAGGCTGATGACAAGATGTCACTCGAGACTTCCAAGGCGATCCTAGGGCTGGATACAGTTGACGGGCCGTGGCAGAACGCAGTTGATGCTACAAAAGCAAAGGTAAGTGAAAAAAAAAAAAAAAAAAAAAAAAAAAGTTTTCTCTCTAAAAATCAAAATTTCAAGTCGAGAAAAGACAACAACAAAGAAATACATCTCATTTTGCAGTACATGGCTAACTGAGAGAAATTTAAAGCTAGAAACAAGCACATCAAAGGAAGCCAAGGGCGTATATCTTGACGCATTGGATTCGATCGCTGAGCACACGTCTTCGCCCTCGCTCAAACATTCAGTTTTGGAACTTCGACATTCTCTGGGCTTCAGTAATTCTGATTTCGATAATGGCGACTCGAGAGCGGCTAATTTGAACCTTCCCATGGGCCTGCACAACATCGGTAACACTTGTTATTTGAATAGCTTACTCCAGTATCTCTTCACCGTGAAGCCTATTCGCGATATCGTATTCAACTATGACAGTTTGCGATTAGAATTGAACGATGAGAACATACAGGCACGTCGACTTGGTGGAAACAAGATGCAAATGGATCGCGGGGAGGCTGTCGTTGCGCAAGCATGTAAGTGCGACTTATTCTTGAGATTTTGAGTAGAAATTCGTGAGAACTAAACCTGTTTTTCCTATGTAGTTGCGGAAGAAATGGCCACACTCTTTGAAAGTCTCCGAACTTCTGACAGAACTGCCACTCGGCCGTCTCAAAGACTCGCCAACGCAGTTTTACTATCAACCCACACGCTCCTGTCTGGCTCGAAGCAGCCGTCTGAGACTCCTACGATAGTAAACCCTCCGCCCTTGCCCGCTCGCCCCTCGCCTGCCCTTCCTACGGAAAGTCATGACGATATTAACATGGTCAATGTTTCTGTGCAAGCTGTGTCAGATTCGATTGAAACGCGGAGCCGTTCTAGCACCCAAACTCTCGTTGATCAAGATGACGCTCGCTCAGACCGCTCGTATGAGAAGGTTGAGACAGTGACAGAAGACACCGGTGGCCAGCTACAGTCCATCCCGATACTTATTGACTTGGAGGATGACACTTTAATGACTGAGGCGCCGCAAGACGACAAGACATCGACCATTCCAGTGGATGTGGACGAGTCTCAAGACACTCCTGTGGATGCCAAGCCAGGTAATGCTGATGTCGACATGATTGATATAGAGAAGCCTGAAACGGTGGATCAAAAGGTTCTCAATGCCCTTGAGCACCAGAAGAGATCTTCTGGAACCGACCAGCAAGATGTTGAGGAAGTCATGGGCAGCATTCTCAACCGTCTTCAGGCAGCGATTCGCCCAACTTCGGTTGACAGCACAAGCGGCATCCAGCTGGAAAAAATCATGGAGACCTTCTTCGTCACAACAGTCAACTATACCAAAAAGTTTGATGAAAAGGAGTATCAACATGAGATTAGCTTTGATAGATCAATTACGGCTTTCCCGGCTGCTGAAGGACCTTGCTCATTGTACGATGCGCTAGGAAGAAATTTCGACCAGCAGATCTTAGAGGAAAGCAAGCTCTCGCGATATACCGCCATCAAGACATTACCGCCGGTCTTACACATTTTGATTCAGCGCTCGCAATCCATGGGCAGCAAGAACGGCAACCCAGTTGTTATACCTGAGACTTTATACCTCGATAGATACATGGACGCTCCCCATAACTCACCCATTTTCCAGCAAAGGGTACAAGATTGGATGACTGCAGAGCGAATTGTTGATTTAAAGTCACAATTGGCAAAGGTCGAAGCAAACCCAGCCTATATGACCTTTTTCCAGAACTATGGGAGTGAAAGTGAGGTTACAGATGACACAGCGAAGCAACCCACCAACGGAAGTGACGAGTTCATGAAAGATGAAATAGACTCTGAAAATTGGGACTTCGATGGGCCAGTAGAGGATGACTTTTTGCTTATAGCGCCGGCAAATGTCACTAAAGAGACTGCGCCTGAGAAACCCGCCAACAAGATTACAGATATACAGAAGACGCACGCTGCAGTGCTAGAAATGATGGAAAAGGAATTGCGCCAACGACAAGAAGCGCTTGAGGGAAGTATGAGCAGCCAAAAGCAAATCTCGTACCGTCTCCATGCTGTCATCTGCCATCGTGGCCACCTGACGTCGGGACATTATTGGGTGTGGATCCACGATTTCGAAGCCAATGTTTGGCGTTGGTATAACGATGCGGATGTGAAGGAGAACAAAGATACCGCAGAAGTACTACAGACCCTGAGCACTAGCGGTGAGCCGTATTACCTCTGCTACGTACGCGACGAAGACAAAGATCAATATGTCAGCGTCCCTAAAAGAGAACCTCCCAAGAAGGAGGAAGCTGATGGCCAGGAACAAGAAGGCCAAGGGGGGGTAGAAGAAATGAAGCCAGCCGTTGAGACTGATTCAGCACCCTTGACCGCAGCCGATAGGGACGGGGATGTTGAGGTTATTGATGCAAGGAAGGAGGGTGACCCAGAGATTGCCCTTGAGGCAGATGCGGTGGCGCAAGAGCCGCGGGAGCCGCAAGATTCTCAGAAGACAGTAGTCATGGAAGATGCAAGTCAGTCTTAAGAAGTAGGGGAATGGTAGAAGTGGGAGAAATAGCCTGATGACCTTTTTGGGGCGATTCAGTTGGCTGAGAAGCAGCATTAACATGTGGCAAGCAAAGAAAAAAGAGGCGTACGGTGTACTAAAATAAAACTTGAGCGCATAAATGGCATTGTTTACGTCTAACAATTAGGTAGCTTTATGATGAGATGATTGATAAAGAAACTTGCAGAATCACAGTGTAGGTTTTTTTGGTTCAATAATAAAAACAAGATGATATCACTCGCAAACACACGCATATGAAAGGCCCAAGAAAGGGGTATGATTGTCATTAATGAATTTTTTTTTCCCATGAATTATTTCTATTGAATTGTCATCTTATCGGCCCTTGAAGACGGGCTTTCGCTTCTCTTGGAATGCCTTCAACGCCTCATTTCTATCTTCAGTGTTGACAACCCTCTTGTACATCTCATTCTCCTTCTCCTCCCTAGCCCAAGCAACGGCCTGTAGCCCAGCACGAACGGCAATGGGCCCTCCTTCGCAAATCTCCTGAGCAAGCCTGACAGCCTCTGACAGGGCAGACTTGCGCGCAATCTGCAGGATATCCGACCCTTCACGCTCATCCTCGGGGATGACCTCAACCAGGCGATCAGCAATGCCGAGGAAGTAAGCCTCCGGGGCGGCGACACGGCGGCCCGTGAGGACGAGATCGCGGGCCCGGGAGAGGCCGATGAGGGCAGGGAGGCGGAAGGTGCCGCCGGCGCCGGGGATGATGCCGAGGCGGGTCTCGGGCAGGCCGACGGTTGCGTTGGAGGAGAGGACGCGGAAGTGGGTGGAGAGGGCGAGCTCGAGGCCGCCGCCGAGGGCGAGGGAGGAGATTGCGGAGATTGTTGGGATTTGGAGGTTGGAGAGGTTGGTGAAGGTGCTGCGGAGGGTGGAGAGGAATTGGGCTGTTCTGTAGGACAATATTAGCAAATTACCGCAGAATAAAGATGGGATATATGGATATATATATACGCACTCTTCTGGTGTGAAGCCGCGTCGCTCTTTCAGATCCGCGCCCGCGCAGAAACATGTATCAACGGCACTGGCGAGAATGAGAGCTCTCGTGGGGCCATGCTCATCGATTCCAGCAGCTCCGCCGAAGCGCTGCTTGGGAGCAATTTCCTCGCCATTGGGGCCGTATTGGTTCTGGATGTCGTCAATCTCGGCGCGCAGCGAGGCCAGCAGGTCCCTAGAGATAGCATTTCTAGCCTGCGGGCGGTTAAGTTCGAGGACGCGGATGTGGCCGTTTGAGCTTGCGCCGGCGGGGAGGTTCGTGACGCGGATGAGGGGCTCGGAAGGAGTTGAGTAGAAACGGCGGAAGATGAAGGGAGTGGCGGAGAAACGGATTCGAGGAGCCATTGTGGGCGGTTTGTGAGGATATCGAGTTGGAGGAGGAGGGTGTGATTTTGGTTATGGGGGGAGAAGGGGATTCAATTGGGAGGAAGAGGGATGGGTATGAGTTGGGAATTTAGAGAGAAGCTCGGCTTAAAGGTGACGTCGATTGGGTTGAATGTGCCGGTGCGGCTTGTATCGGTGCTATGGGCCTTTTGGTAGGGGAGCCGGCATTAACTGGGTTGGGGATGCAACAATAGTTAAAGGTTTATTAGGTGTATAGAGAATACGATGAGTTGTTTAAATGCTGCAGATGTATATCTTGATGCGTTCAATCGGTGAAATGGTAGTCAATTGCTATCCTCATGACCTAGCTCTTGGCCCAAGAGCCCAATGGATGAGCTCGATGAGCGTCTCGACGATCACCCAGTTCCTTGCAGTCATATCCTCTTTTCGACATACACACAGTTTATTAGAATTGACATTAGGAGTAGCTCAAGATAACGGTGAAGAAGGTGAAACTAGCTCATTCCGATGCAAGGACTATAAAGACGCTGTCACTTGAGTTGTTGTCGTGGGTCTCGAAGCTCTCGTTAGCTACCTAGAGCTCCGCATGCTTCTAGGCTGCTCCATTCACTAACTCAACCGCATGATGCTCACGCCATCCATCGAGGCTAACTTTGGGCTTCCATTGGACCCTTGTAGATTCACCATTGGTATATATGCTGCACAATGGTCAATTGAGGCTGATAGTAGAGGTGCAAGTGGTGCTATTGACTCTGATATCCCAGCTGCCCTAGATGCTAGGTAGGAGCTTCTAACAGCCGCGCCTTCCCTTCAACACTGCCCCTGAACCCTAATCGATAGCACAAAGACTATTTCAACTGCCATAACTGTCATAGAAAGACGCCATCTACAACCCATGCTTCTTGTTCCACTCTTGACACATCACTAAGGCTGCCATGGTGCGTGCAGTTCTTCATGCCGCTTCACCCGCTTCTCGCCTCGGGCCAATGGCGAGCTCCGGCGCGCACCAACTGCAACCACACGATATTAATCTGGGGGAGGCGCAGCACTGCTGCAGCGCTGCCTTCAGGCCGTTGTTCGATCCTTAACGCTATAGATTGCCCTGCAAGATCTCGCCAAACCCCTGGGCCCGATCTTATCAAATACATACATGCGATATTAATCTAAATCTGCGGTAGATCGTGTGCCTATGCTACTACTGCTACCAGCCAGCCCAATATTGCTTCTCGGGGTTTCCTTTGGCCTGCGCCCACCAAAAGGTCCCGCGGATAAGATGCCTGCTCCCCATGAGAGACTCAATTGGTCAAATTCGACATGGCCGCGTCTCGACCCACACCGTTGGGCGTATGACAACAAATCATTTACTTATCCGAGATCAAGGAATATTTGTCAGTCGCGATATAAAGAGCCACCGAATGGAGGGCTCCTTGCCTACCTCACCGACTTCGTCTCTCTTGTACCACTTCGGCCTGGGGCATGGCAATCCGAGCAGGCCATTAGCAGATCCGAGCAGGCTCTCCGGTTAGGCCACTACTTAAATAGGCCCATCGTCGGCCGTCGCCGGGGGCATCGATTGGTAGGGCACCTATGCTCTCGAAATTTGCTATTGGTAGTTGCTGGGGGCCGACGGGCGTTCTCTCCACGAGCCATGGCAGCGACCAGTAGCATAATCTCGTCTGTCGTTATATCCACCGCGATAACGGCGGCATCTACTGCGTCCTCTCTGCCGCTTTCGGTCATTGTCGAGCCCAATATAGGAGGAACTCTTGATTTTTTCCCTTTCGACGACCTTGCCAACGTCGGGAATCCGAATGACGATGTCTTCAGCTTCAAGGATCTCATCAAGTCGAGCATCGCGGGCGACCAGAGCATTGTGCTTTTCGGCACCGGCTGCCTGGTTGATGGCGTAGAGGACTGCACTCGCGCTTGCAATAACACGAATGCCTTTTTCGGCTCTCTTGAGACCTTTTACGATTGTATCGCGCTGGCTTCCATCTCCCACTGGACTCATGATACCGAGAGCTACTACATTACTCCCCAGACAGAAAAAAATGCCAGCGTTATTATGGGTTCTGGGAGCCTCGCCAGTTTCGACTATAAGCCAACCCTCGACTCCTTCATCACTTGCGCACAAGCATCCTGCGGAAGTGACCAGTTAAGCGTGGCATGTGACCCGTCTATCAAAGCGCTTTCCATAGAGCACTCTACTGCCGATGAGATATTTGAGGCCATGAATTCGTTTTGCCCAGATATCCCAGCCAATATCGACCCTGATATTTTTGGACCCGGAGTAAGACTATGCCAACAAGTAGCGAAATAGGGTGAAGATAACACTAACCTTTGTTGAAACAGGTGCTGATTTCCTATGTGCTCCAAGTATGCTTCTCGGGATCACTGTATCTGGCTGTTCAAGCATTCACCATCTGGGCGCGCCACACCGAAAAGAAACGGGAGCCTTACACCCTCACCCGTGCCGAGTCGTTAATATGGAGAGACACCTCTACCATGTCAAGGACTAGTGTGGCCATGGCCACCACCCTGGTCGAGTTCCAGGAAGCTCAGTGCTGGTTTGTGTTCGCATTGCAGATCGCCTCCATCCTTGCCATTGTCATAAACTCCCAGGATGGCACGTTCTGGGGCGAGATCATCGTCAATGGTGCTGTCGCATTCCATGTCAGTCTAAACGGAGTGCTTCCCATGTTCTTGGTTCAAGTTTGTCTCCATAACGAAGGTATTCGCAACTGGCATACATTCCTTGGTTTTTGTGCAGAATACCTATTGGCGATTATTGCCTCTACGCAAAAGATTAGCTTCTCATCTACCTTTGATCTATTCAAACAGCAGCATAGTATCGAAGAATGCGGCGGCAACCCAAGTCCGCGCACATATTGCGCCGCTACCCATGGAGTTTCCGGACTTAGCTTGACGTTCTTCCCTCATCCGCTCTTTTACAAGGTCGTGTTTCTGGCATTGGACAGTGTGACATTTATTGCGCTCGTCATCGACCAGCTGAGCTGGACGCTACGAAAACACAGACGAACGAAACATTTGAGATTTGGTCGCTGGACGCCTGGTCGATGGCCGGAGAACAGACTCCAGCGTCACTGGAAAAGATTCGCAAAGTACTTTTGGAGAGTTTTGGAAATCTTATATTTCTTCATCAATATCCTATACATGGTGTCACTGGTTACTGTCATCAGTGCCAAGAGCTTTGAGGCAAACAAATGGTCGTATGGGCAGATTATTGCCATTACTTGTTGGGGTCCTGTCATTGTCAAGCTGATAGACCTCATCATATGTGAGTTCAACCATTCGAAGCCTTCTTTATACCTCATATCTACTTCTATTACTCCTGATACGAATACTAACCATTACGCACAGCCGGACCACCAAAGAATGGCGAAAAGCTCAATTCCGGGCCGCCACGCTTGCGCATAGACAATGTCATTAACCATAGACTGATATCAGAATACACCGATGAAGAGCCGTTTGAACCTGATTTGAAGACAGCTCGCGCGGCTTACTCTCGTCAAGAGACATTATTTTCGAGGACAGAGACTGAAGCGTCTCATATATAAGAGGTAGAAGCGACGAATGATGATACGAGTTATTCAATCATGATTAATGTCCTTAACGATTTAATGTAATGTCACATTTCTTATGCATAGTACATAGGTATATATAGAACCATCGGTACATTATATAGAAATAACAGGTTAGATGCAGGAACGGTGTCGTAAAATCATCATCTATAATAATACATAGGATTGGCCACTGGACGTGCCCCTCCTTCTTGCCGGCAAAGGCGAAGAGTTTATGACGGCCGAGACGGGTCAGTCGTCTCGAATTTGGTTGGCACAAACTGGTAACTCACGTTTTCCCGCTCTCTCAAGAAGTGGTTGACTCTTTCATCCTTGTTGAGCCCCGCGACCATGACTTCGTTCCTCTGCAGCCGGCGCCCGACATTGTTGTTCTGATCAGCCACCCACCCAGCGTAGACAGTGCTGCTATTTTCCGCCCGATTGGTCTGCGCAATGGCCCCGACGACGCAAAACATGACGACGATGGTGGCAAACGCTCCATGCGACATGAAGACTGGCTCGCCGGCCTTTCCCGCCTGGGCGTCCCGCCAGTTCTCCCAGTCCTCCCACGTGGCATTGTTCGCGGCGGTGCCCTGCTGGTGGCGCCAGTTCCTGTCAATGTCGCGCAGCGTCGTGACGCCGTCGCCGTGGGACCAGCCGAGGCCGTAGGCGTCGTACATGCGCCGCTTGGAGGAGTTGCTGAGGAGCTCGTTGGCGGCGACAATCATGTGATATCGTTCGAGGCGGGTGGCGTGGGGGAGGTGGCTGATGTGTGATGATGAAGACGAAGACAACGATGATGCTGATGAGGAATTGCCTTGGCTGTCATGCGTATCGGGATGGTAGAGCTTGACGAGGTCGTAGAACCGTCGCTTATCGTAAATTGCGCTTTTGGAGACGCCCAAGACCTGGTATGGCGTGGGTCGCGGCGATTTCGGCCATTCGGGGATGGGGTCGCCAGAGGAAGCTTTTGCGTCGGACCATTTCTTTTCATTGACTTCGTTTACTGTGGCATATTGTCGTCGTCGCTGCAACCGATCGCAGAGAGGCGAGGCAGAGATGGAGGATCGGGCGCAATGTGAGATGTGATGGGAGGTGCGGAGGGAGGGGAGAGTGCCGGTGGCTGGCTTGATGATGGCCATGGCCTTGATGTCACGGTTGAAATACTAACAGCTGTAAGAGTAGATAATTGGTTGTCTTGAGGGCGTTATCATTCGTTCAATTACAGCTACACCAGCAATGGGCGAAAGTGGAGGATGAGACTTTTGGCGCTGATGATGTCGTCCACAAATCGTGCTTTCGCGGGAGCTACAATGGATGGATCGGGTCACGCTACTCTCCCCGCTATTTTGGCAATTTTTGGCAGCTGTGGTGGGGCGTGTTTAATGGGAAGACGTTCAAAAGGCTATTCGCCTCCAGTTTTCTCTCTGCCAATCCACTCAATTGTTTCTGAGCTAAGTTGCTAGCGGCCATCACAGCTAACGAGATTCTACAAGAAGAGTGTAAGTAGAAGACGTGGTGACAGCCACAAAAGTCCGTTATGCTACTCACAGATGAACCAAATCTTTTTTCCTAAACATGTATTGATCAGCGCCTAAGTAAATTCAGGGCTGTGCTCTCAACCCAGTGTTAGGTCGTTATAGATCTTATCTTTTCACTGGGATTTGTGAACAAAGACAGGCAACGCATTACGGTTCTCCCCCCCCTCCCCCCAACGTCCTGGAGGCTGATAGAGGTAACAAGAGTCTTCAGGGCTATGAATTTTTTTTTTTTTACGAGGGAAATTTATTCAGCACTCCAGTCCTATTGTCCAACATCCCAGCCATGGCTAAAATGGTCATGTAGCCTTAGAAACAGCAGTAGCAGTCCATACCTAGGTATCTAGCTAGAGTGTTGAATAATAGGTACTAGGACTGGGTGATAGATAACTTTTCCCTTTATTGCTCATCTTCGGGAAATCAGAAGGCTGCTCCACAACATTTGTTCGGTACCTCTTTCTGCAGTAGTACTCTCAAATTTGCTCAGCTTCCGTTCTTGTTAAGAAAACTCCCGCATCCTTCTGCATGACCTCTAGAAATGGGCTAGGCTCGCGCTCGGTCGAACCCTTTCGAAGCCCTGCTTCGCCGAAGCGTCCGTGCGTGCATTGTCAGAAAATGAAGTCCTTGCTTGCATTACGGCGTATTATTAAATCATCTCTCTGAGAGAGGCTATGTTCTGCTAGCCCCAGCTACGCCGTTGTAATTGCGCGGTTTAGCGCTGTTCACGGCCGCCGTATCCTCATCTATTTACAGTATGAGTTCTCCTCATTTGTTCAAAAACCAAATCACAAACTATTCGTTTGTTCGTGAGTATCGTCAACCCTCCCATCTCTTATATCTGATCGATCCCATCCATCCGTACTGCCACATCCAAGTTACACAGGCCCGATATGTCCGTTTAGCGGGTCCAGTCCCCTGCGCAGCCTCTACGAGAAGTAGTAGCACCATGGCCTACATTAGTAGGTAGTACGAAGACTAAAGAAGAGCTCTGCAGGAAGAGCACACCCCGATGTGTCATGTCCAGCTGCAGCAGGGTATCTTTTCGGGCACCATCCAAAGTTGCAGTGTTGTTGGTTCGTAGCGTTTCTTTTTGCTTGCAATCCCGATGGCTTGGGCCAGAGCCAATAAGCTCAGTCATGAGATGCCAAAATTGGAATTTCCCACGTGGGTTCTAGCCGCCCATCTGAACCAAACTGCCGGGATTTGCCCCAAAAGGCGAGCGCCACGGGGAATAAAACTCCCGCCCAACATGCTTTGAGGCAACAAGGACTGCTAACATGCATCTATCGTTTCGCGACAGCGTATTGATGCGGACCGCTCCCTGTCCTGTCGCGGAAGACTGCCGGGAAAGCTTGGACATGTAGTACAAGCATGTACGAGTGGCCGTAGTAGGTAATGCCTAGTAGTGCTACTCATTAATTTCATCTGACGGCGCCACGATGACCCCTTGACAGCTCGACAGCGCAACTAGTTTTAGACGCGCCAGTTGGTACCCCAAATGTTCAACTCCATGGACAACGTAGCACCCCCCATTAGCCATTTAATAGCTCGTCGGCGAACGGAGATGGGACCTTTGTGGGCTGATTCCATGCCACCACCACAGCGGACCATGGAGCTCTCTCTCTCCACGGCGAGTCTCATAGTCCTCTTTAGGCCCACCGCAGACGCCGTCGACTCACAGACCCATATGACTATTCCCCCCTTGCAAAGTAGCAGCCGTCTTGGCTCCCTTGACCATGTCTTTTTGCCTACAAGTATACCCATCAAGGAACATGGCCATGTGTTGTGGTCCGCCTTGCATAGCGGAAAGACTCTATCCGCTCCCCATGGCCAACCCGGAGAGAAAATACTATTCGCTATGCTAGTCTAGGAGGGAACCAGTTCGTCAGCTAGGCAGATAAAAATTACAAATGGAGGGACTAGCAAGCAAGGAGCTGTCCACCTTTGGCGAGAGATTATTAAGGGTCAGGATGGCCGCAGGGTGTGGCCTATAACCTCTCGTGAGAAAAGCAAACGAGAGGCGCTCATGTTTTGTTTGCTTTCTGAAAGCTTTAATGACTAGTATTTTTCATGTCTTTTCCATTTTAATCAACTCCCTCCCAGCTTCTCCAGCCAGCGGCTGATATAGGAGAGAAGAGAGAAAATGCGCGTTGCCATCATCGGCGGCGGTCCTTCGGGCATCGTACAACTCAAGACACTTACCGAAGCCCATCGGCGCTTTTCGGTCCCGCCTTTTGAGGTTCGGCTCTTTGAATCTCAAGACAGGCTTGGTGGTATCTTTTCAAGTCATAGTTACGAAGAGGCAGAGCTGGTCTCGTCAAAATATCTAACCACCTTCTCTGACTTTCGCGCTCGTAGCGAGGATGACGATTTCTTCACTACCGATCGCTACCTCGAGTATCTTGACGACTACGCCACACATTTCAAGCTATGGCCCTATATCAACTTGAAAACATGGGTCAAGTCAATTAGAAGAGGTAGCTCAAGTGAGCACATAGTCACTTACCGAACATCGAACGGCGAGGAAATCGAGTGGGAATGCGATGCCATTGCAGTATGCTCCGGCGTGCACGCCACTCCAAATATTCCGGATTTGCCAGGCATCGAACATGTCCCCGTCGTGATGCATTCTTCCGAGTTCAAGTCTCGGGAGCAGTTTGGGAAGGGCAAGACCGTCATGGTCGTTGGAAGTGGCGAGACTGCTGCAGATATTGCCTACTTGGCAGTGACAGGGGATACGGACAGAGTCATTCTATGCCATCGCGATGGTTGGCTCGGAGCACCAAAGGCATGTTTTCATTCTTTCAACATTAATTTTTTTTTTCCTTCAACAAAGAAATAATATTGAGTGAAAGGAAGCTAACTTGACTTACAGAGAGTCCCCGGTCAGCGATTTCTGCCCTGGCTCTTTGGCTCCAAGCCATATGAGTATCCTCAGCTACCCCTCGATGTGTCTCAAATTACTTTGTTCGACTCCATGTATGTTCATCCTATGGTAAGAGACAGCATGATAATTTGGAACTATTACCATTTCGTCGCATTGCCTGCTGGGTGTTGGCTCTGTGGTGGTTCTCCATATGGTGTCGACCAGTTTGTTGGCCAGATTTATAGTGAACGATTTCACGCATCACGAGGTATGAAGCATATACATACATCTACTAACACTCAATATTTCTCTCACTATTTTTTTACTTGGAAAGTAGCGTTGCTCTAACTCATTGCCACTCCTAATACTCTTCTAGTCTTCTTTAATAAAGCCTGGCAGCGCATCAGCAATCACGTCTCTGCTCCCTGGCGACCATCAAAGTGGCCTCTTGCGACTCGCATCCGTCGTTTCTTCTTCAACACCGACATCCCTCCTGTCTCACGCATCATCGAAGTCGCACCAACTCCTTCTCACATCTCCAAGGACGGCACAGCCCACTTCCCTCTCAACGGCCGTCCAGAGTCTGTCCGCATCAACGAGACCGTAGTCAAGCCAGACGTCGTTGTATTTGCCACTGGCTACCTCTCATCATTTCCTTTTCTCAATGAATTCGAACACGCCAACGACAAGCCTTATCCTACAGCATGGCATGCAGATGTCAGGCAAATCTGGAACTCGAATGAGCCGACAGTTGGGTTCATTGGCTTTATTCGCCCGGGGTTCGGTGCTATACCACCTCTGGCTGAGATGCAGTCCATGCTGTTTACCATGAGCCTTATGAATCGAATCCCTAAGCCCCTTCATCCCGACGATGAGTGGCATTACCGAATCATACACCCTCCCGATGCCCGTGTCTTTTATGGCGTCGAGCACGATAGCTATGCATACCAATTAGCAAAGGATATCGATGCAGCGCCAACATTCACAGAAGTGCTTAAGCTCGCTTTCCGTACGAAAAATGGTTGGAGGCTGCCGTACGTTTGGGCCGCAGGAGCATGCTTCAATACCAAGTTTCGCATGAAAGGTCCGTGGAAATGGGATGAAGCTAGCGAGGTCATGACTGGCGAGTTATGGGAGACTATCCAACGCCGTGAAGGTTTATTTGGTAAGCAACTGTTATTACTTTTTCTTGTCCTTTGCCGGTAGCTACCTATACAAGATACTGACCCGCGTGTGATGAAGGCAACATCCCGCTTAGCATCATCCCATTGATGTATCTCGGCCTCATCAACCTCTTCTTCTTACTTTATGCTCTCTTTTGGGGGTTCCTTGCGAAAGTGCGTCTAACACGGCCCATAGTCATTCGCAATGAACCGAAGCGAATCATGCAGGAGATGGAGCGCCTACACTGCAAGAAAGAAAATCGCTGAATATGAATCCGAGAATTACTATCAAGATGCAAGTTCCAGGGACCGATAGAGCATATTGTGGAATGTCTGCAACTTTGCGAGATATCCGATTCAAAATTTTTTTTCCGACATTCGTTTTAGACTCTTAGATGATACCAACTTTCTTTCCAATCGTTTGCCACTGTCCATGATGAATACTGTGAGTCCGTCGAGTGTTGTTGTACTGTGTTTGGAAGACCAAAGGCTCGCGCTTCTGCAGAATAGCTCTTAGAGGGAAATAGTGCGTGCCTTAAACATCAACGGCGAGATGGCCGAGTTGGTTATGGCGTCAGGTTAAGGCTACCTTAACAGCAATTCCTGGTGGAGCAATCCGCGTGGGTTCGAGTCCCACTCTCGTCAGCAATATCTTTTTGCCCTTTTGAGCTTTAGACATGGCGACTTCTTTTTTAAGAATGCAAATATTCAGCCAAAGTTGTTTCTCTATTTAAAGTATTTTGTTATTCTTTTGAGACGCGATATGAAATTTGGAACAGGGAGCAATAAATGCATTCCCCTTAAGTTATAAGTAGCATCTCCTTTGAGGTTGCGCTAACAGACAAAATAGATAGGCCTTGTACCACTTCATATACCGTGATGGTGATATTGTACTGGCTCTTGAGGGCTTTAGCATCCCCAGTGAAAGGCAACTGGTGTCCACAGCAAGTCTCGGTATAGCAATACCGCCTTGGCTCATGTAGGCACCTTCTTATAGGATGGTAATGGTCAGATACGTGCATCTGTGTGCCAGTATCATGGCTGCGAGCTGGCCAGGACGACCTTGCTAGCCAAATGCGCCGAGCGTCCTTAGTTGGTGCCCGTGTTGAGTGCAGATTTCAGTTCATGCGAGCGCTACACATTAAAAGCCCGGGGCCCTAAACTAGCGTACAAGCACCGCCATGCACACCATCCTCTTGTACCTGACAGAGCGGCTAGGCCTCAATATTAAATGCCGTCTCAGCACAAGACAATAGGATTGACATGGTAGGATACACCAGCTACCGGTTTTTGTCTCAGATCTTCGCTTCTCAGAGTTTTTGTAAGCACCGAGAAGACTTTTTATCTCTCCCGTGATGTGCCGAAGCCGTAAAGAGCACGAGACGCAGTGCCTTTTGCGTGTTAATGTCATCTGCAGGCTTGTTGGTTGAGACAGGCTGCTGGCGGTTCCATGTGCCTTGGAGATACGAGTACCGGCCTCCATCTCTATCAGCCTTCAATCCTTCTTCACCACTTCAACAACACCACCACACCAAATTCACGTCTTCAACCCCGATTCCCCCATGATTTCCTCCATGCAGCCATCCACCGCCTTTAGCATCCTTTAGCATTCTTTAGCATCACTTCTTCAACACACCGACCCCACCCAGCATCTCCCCTGCCAGGGCCAAGAAATGCCCTGCCGAGACTCCCAAGTTTCGCATCTGCAGGTCTGCTGACGCTCCTCCACACCACGGGCCAATGCGGACTCGCCAGCTGATCGCCTGCTCCATGCTCAGCCTTGCCCTATGTGACGTCCCACTGGCTGTGTCTGCTCCTGTACGGCGCGTCTCTCTCGCTTGGGCTGCCGAGATGATGCGATGTGTCAGAGCCAAGATCCCCAGGCAGAGAGCAGAGCGTTGAGAAGTGTCCACAGCTGTCATACCGGACAACTAAACATGTGATGGCACCTCTCATGGGTCCTGTTTTCTCCTCTCTCCGGCTGCCTACAGCGACAACTCGTATGCGCCTAGTGACTAGTCGCAGCATTTAGAAGATGGACGGCCAGGGGTCAAGTGCCGTGAAGGGAAAAGAATAAAAGGTATATGTTTGCTACTAGTATAGCTTACCACCATTGCCTGGCCCTGCGTTTTCTCCAGCTCGTTTCAGCCCTACCTTGCTGCTGCTGTTGCTGCTGCTGCTGCTGCTGCTATAGTAGTACTACTAGTAGTACTTACATGTACCCATTTGCAGATGATACATGAAAGAGAGTACCAGTTACAGCCTCGCTTTTTTCGCCTTTGTTTCCTCTAAGGCGAAACCTTGAGGCGCTTACTGCAGCTGCGTTATTGGTCCAAGCTACAAGTACCTTATATACATCTCCCAACCGCGATTATCCACGCACCTCCGCCATGAAACCTCCAAACCAGCCCAACGGCGCATCGCCAAGATCCTTCATGAGCTCCGTCACCGAGTTTTACCGCTGCCAGATCGGCGGCGAGACCGTCATCAACTACGCCTATACCGACTTCCCTCTTCGTCTCCTAGTCAAAGATGTCTACTACTTCTTCGCCTACTGTTGGGCACTGCCTTGGGTCTTCTTCCCTATACACCCCTTTGGGTCGGGCGAGCTTGATGAACTGTACCCATCGCGGATGAACATCTTCTGTCTCACCGTCCACTTCTTCCTGCTCATTTTCCAGGTCGCTTTTCTCCTCGCTTTGCCATTTGCGATATTTTTTCCTGCTTGGATGGGAATCGCAGCCATCGTTGGCTTTCATTCCCTCAACAGGCTGGTCTGCATGCTGCTGAATGGCAAAGATATTATTTTTCACTCTGATGAAAAGTATGCCAAAGCTCGACCGGAACATGAGCATGAGCAGTGGGTGTTTTTAAACGGCGTCTCTACTGGGTGAGTTTGTCCCACCATAGCTTACCTTGAACGTATCATGTCTTACCGTCCTCATTGCCGTCTTGATTCTAACTCGAACTGAATGAAAATAGCGAGCACTGGATGAAGACAAATCTTAATCGCTTGGCGATTACATTTGGTCGCCCAATTCTCGGCATCCATAATCGCACTTCCGGTATGGTTTTCGACGTCATCGAGTGCCTCGTACAGCGCAACTTTTCATATGCGACTGGCGATATTCGTGTTTGCTATAGACATATTAAAGATATTCTTTATAACCCTAAAAAGACAAAGGTGGTCTTCATCATGCACTCTCAGGGGGCCATCGAAGGTGGCATGGTTCTGGACTGGCTCCTACAGGAGATGCCTCAGGATCTTCTCGCAAAGCTTGAAGTGTACACTTTTGGCAGTGCCGCTAATCATTTCAACAACCCTCACCGCCATGTCATCTCACAAGATTTGACCCGATCGAAGCCATTTGAGGCCATGCAGACAATCGTCTCCGAGACCACCTATGAAACTCCAGCCACTACTCCGCTGGAAGTCAGAAAGGATCCGATGATCTCTGCAAACATGTTACGACGATCCTCCTCAATAGCCTCGTACCACACTGCTTCTGCTGCCAAGGACAGAGCTATTGGCCATATCGAGCATTATACTCACAACACCGACTTTGTTGCCATCTGGGGCATTCTCCACTTTGCGACTAATAGAATGGCTTCCACGCAGCTACCTCGCTTCCTCGGTCGTCTTTTCAACCGGTCCAATGGCCATGGCGGACATCTCTTTGTCCAACACTACCTTGACGGCTTATTTCCTCTAAAGCGCGATCCAGAGACTGGGGAATTTGTCGGAGTCGAAGAAGATAATGCGTTCATGGAAGAAGTCATCAAGTTTGGTGTGGAGGGCACCGCCATGGAGAATGCGCGAGAAGCCTTTGAGGTTAGCTACGGAGGCACGGGTGGGTTTGGAACAGGCGATATATCAACCCCAATCGAGGTGTACGACCAGTTTTCTGCCCGCAAGAAGCAGAGAAAGGACGTCAAAGTCAAGGAACTCAGCAGGCTATGGATGTACAGAAACGGACGGAGCCCACCTGAGATTTCTGCCGCGTTGGCAGCAGAGTTGGCAGGCATAGACAGGAGGAACTCGTTGCTATGAGACGCTTCATGAGGAATTGGGTAAGTCGCAATGAGAATGGGTCTGCGACGAGGTTTACTTGCATGCATGCGTTGACTGCATACTACGAGCATATATATATACATGTCTGTTTTGAGCATTATCCGGAAATTGCCACTACTAATCTTCCTTGTCTTTTTTTTTCCCTCTTCCGCTCTTGTTATACCTAGGTTACGAATAGAATGAGACATCCGATGGAAAATGAATAATAGAATGATACCTTTGATACCTCTGATACCTCTGATACCTCTGATATCTCTTTAAGATCTATGTATGTATGAGACTACTCGTCTCTAGATTAAGGGGTCGGTATAACATACGTAGTAAGTATAGTATTACCATACAATAAATCGCCAGACTACCTATTATCTACTACATTTATCAACAAGCAAAGGGCAAAAGAGCAAAAAAAAAGATATGACGAGAGTGGGACTCGAACCCACGCGGATTGCTCCACCAGGAATTGCTGTTAAGGTAGCCTTAACCTGACGCCATAACCAACTCGGCCATCTCGCCAATCACATCGGTTGAAATTCGGCGTGCGCATGCCGTATATGAAGCCAGCGCGAGTATGACGGCTGTGGCCTTGGCAATCAAAGCCATCTTGGCCTACCCTATGACATAACAGTAATGACAAGGTTATTTTCCTTTATTCCATCATAGCCTTGTCCTGTCGACTCTATACTTCGGTCATTTATACAAGAATCTATAGAGGTAAAATAAAACTCGTGTCATGGTTCCAGTGAATAGCTGTAGATGTGATTTGGCAATCGTAGCTAGAGAATGACTGTGCGCCATTGCTTCCATCAGCGAATGATATCATACCGCAGTAAGCTAGCTATCCTTTTGAGCACTACATTGAGGTAATGCCACGTTACGAAACATGATACTAAATAAATCGACACTTGAACAAATAGCAGTCTAGTATTTAGAGACAATAGAAGGCAGAATGTCCTCCTTTGGTTGGCCCCCTCGTGAAAGCACCAACCAGGCTTCACATGTCGCACCGCCGCAGCCTTGTAGAAGTGGGTTTCAAGCCGTGGCGACTGTGGCAAGGATCTAGCGCCTCCGCCAGCGAATCTTATCGCCCGCCGACCCCTCCAACTCAAGCCCGCCAACCCGCCAATTCTAGCGGCGCACTCTAACACACAGAGCAGATCACAGGCAGCAGGTTTGTTTGGCTGGCTGTTAGCGGAAGCTTGTTTGGTGCAAGTATGACGCAGTCAAGGCTGGACCGTTTTGATCTGTTGAGACACCTGCATACGAAAGACGGCATTTGCCCACTTTATCACCTTGAACCAAACAAATTCACATTCAACTCTTCTTTCAATCTTTCCATTCTGCACGCTGTGTCAAGCCCCTGTAAGAGGCACCACTACTGCAGGTTCTCACTAGCCCAGGCTATTTTCTTCCTGACGACGGTTGCTACGACACCTTTTGTTTTTTTTCTTCCCTCTCCCCCACCCAAGTCCTGCCTACCGTTAATTTCCTCTCGCATTGCTGTTTTCCTTGTGCGCACACTTTGAAAGTAGCAACGACGACTGTAGGAGAGCCACGGCAAACACTCTTGCCAAGATGTTCGTCCTTAGAAATGGTACGTCAAGAATCCAGTGAATGCAGCTCCGAGGCATGCATGAATCCCCAGAAACAGCGTAGCTCAGCTCGGCTTTGTTTCCAATAAATGCCCCTCGGTTTCTGTTGCCGCCCTGTTATTTAAGGCTCTGGAAGCCTTCTTTCGCCCGCGCCTACGCCTTCTTCTGCTCTTTTGCTCTTCCACTTCCATTTCATTATCCCAAATCGTCGCACCGCTTCTGCTAACACCGGCTTCCATCTAGTTGGCAAGCTGATCTTCGGCTCAACCGCCCAAGAATCCCTCATCGAACTTCCTCAAGGCCAGCTGTACCTCGTGCGACCGCTCTCGCCTAAGGGATACTCAGAACTCATCTTCAAGGACTCTGCTATCCGCATCCGCCGAACCAACCAAGTCTTCCAGTACCAGCTCGTCGTGCAGCGAGTCTTTGAGGAGGGAGAGGCCGAACTGCTCGCTGACGAAGAGGGCGAGGACGCTGAGATCGACGCTCTTGTAGGCGAGCGCGACGAGAAGACCTTTCTGCTCGACGAAGCTTTGCGCTTCCGCATCGAGATTAGAGAAGGAGGCGAGGAGACTGTTCTCGCTTGGAAGGACTTGAGCGGCGACAACGGCGATCTTTACGAGTTTGTCTGCGACAGTGCTGTCCCCAACGCGGAAGCAAAGCGTTTTCTTCAAACGGCCCAAGAGTGCCAATACGAGCGCAAATATCGTAAACCGCATACGACAGCCTCGTACGAGGATCTTGAGCAATTTGACTTTCCTGAGGAGCAACCCATCCCTCCCGCCAGCCCTCTGCACAGCCCGACTCTCGCCCGCTCTATTGACTCCATCGACGACATGTTTGCCAAGCGAACCGTCAACGCTTCAGCTCAGCGCGGATCTGCGGCAGAGCAGCTGCCTGGAGCGGTTGTTGAAGAAGTCGAGGCACCCCCGCAGGCGTCAGAGCCAAAGGCTGCTCCCAAGCCGCTGGAGATCTATGCTGCCGTGTCCGGTGAATTGCACCTCTACGATCCGCAAGCAGGGCATTTTTCCCAGGTTGAAGACTCTGTTATTGCTGCTGTCTCTGAAGTCGGAAACTGGCAGTATTGGCTGCAGATTAATGCGGATGACAGGTCGATCCTGGGCACTCCCGTGGTTGCCGAATGCAACCCGGTCTTTGACTTTGAGCATCTCTCCTTCATCTTCAACCATTGGTCGGCAGATGGAACCGGAAGATCGTGGCTTCTCCGTTTCAAGGATCAACCAACCTTGGAGAAATTCCAAGAAGGTGTGATGCAAGCCCTATGGGAGAAATTGAATGAAACCAAGTGGAAGAAGATCCAAGAGAAAGAGCGTGAATATGTCTTGGATGCATTCAATGACCTCACCATGGAAGATGCGCCGCCAATTGAAGAAGAGGAAGAAGAGGAAGACGACGAGGAGGAGCGGGATAGAGAAGATGAACGTGCCCAATATGATGAGGACGAGGAGTATGATGATGACGAGGAACAGCAGGAAAGGAACGATGGAGACGTCAACTCCCAACTTGCCGTTGGCTACAAGCATGATCGCTCCTTTGTCGTTCGTGGTTCCAAGATTGGCGTTTTCACTCACACGCCGGACAACCATCTCAAGTTTTCTACCAACATTTCAAAGGTGATGACTCCTGGAGGGAAAATGATGAATCCAAAGAAGGTCATGCTCCACAAGGAAGACAGGGATCTTATCATGCAAAATAACGTGGATCCGAACAAACTCTACCGCATGGACATCGAATACGGCAAGGTTGTCGATGAGTGGAAGGTCCATGACGATATGTCCGTCACAACATTTGCTCCCGAGAACAAGTTTGCACAGATGACTGGAGAACAGACGTTCTTGGGTATCTCTCACAACGCACTTTTCCGAGTCGATCCTCGCCAAGCTGGCAACAAGATTGTCGATTCAGAAACGAAGCAATACGTTTCAAAGAACGATTTCTCTTCCATTGCTACCACTGAGAAGGGCTACATTGCCGTTGCAAGCAACAAGGGTGATATTCGTCTGTTTGACCGCCTCGGAATTCGGGCCAAGACGCAGCTTCCCGCTCTTGGTGATCCTGTTATTGGTATGGATGTTTCAGCCGATGGCCGATGGATTCTGGGAACTACAAAGAATTATATCCTCCTCATCGATGCCATGCAACACGATGGCAAGAACGAGGGAAAGCTTGGCTTCGAAAAGGCATTTTCTTCAGACTCGAAGCCCCGCCCTCGCCGCCTAGCCCTCTCACCCGAACACGTCGCCCAGTTTTACCACGAGACTGGCTTGCCCGTATCATTTACTCCTGCCAAATTCAACACGGGCGAGGGTACTTCAGAGACTAGCATCATCACTGCGTCCGGACCCTACATCATTGAGTGGAACCTCAAGCGGGTCATTCGCGGCACCAAGACGCCGTATATGATTAAGCGATACGAGGAGAAGGTTATGGCAGATGACTTCAAATTCGGCTCTGACAAGAACGTCATTGTTGCCCTGCCCAACGAAGTCAACATGGTAGCCAAGAAAAGTCTCAAGGAGCCTACACGAGAAAGCATCATTGGAGATGTGCGACTGTTGGGTGATACACGGAAGTCGGGAAGAATCAATGCGGGCAAGAGTGGCCAGTACAAGCTCGGAAGGGATGACATTGTCGACTCCCCTTATTAAAGCGGCTTCGTATATGCTTGATATATATCGATCATATTCGAAGCACATGAGAAAGGATATTGAAAGGAACAGATAGGAGAAGGGAATGGGAATGGGAACGGCAAAGGACGGAATGATGACGACGATGATGGGATACCACAGGTTGCTTTAGATTACGCGTTTAGGACGATGGAGTTCGCTGGGTTTATGATGTTGCTTACGATTGTTGTTATTGCTTTTCTACTTAGATACTCCATAGTACATAGTTTTGAACGAATCAAACCAATGGCCTTTATTTCGAGATCGCCAATACCAGTGATTGTGGGCGGTATATCTGCCTGATTAAGAAGCAATTATGTAGAACGGATATGATGAAAATATGGTTTGACGTTAAATTTGTTTGCTTTTCTAGTTTCTGCTAACACATAGCTAATACAATCTACGGCTTACTACGCTAGCCCTTCCTTTTGTAATCCAGCGACCGTAACAGATACGATCATAGAACATCTAAATATATGTGCATATAATTCCCACGGTATCAAAAGAGAGAAGAAGTGGGAATTAATGATATAGAAAGAGGTTTTTTTAAAAAAAGAGGAAATAATAGACTCGTACAACACCATTTTTTCCCCCTCGCTAACCCAGCGTAAACAAGTACATGACAAGAAAGAAAAAAGAGGAGAAAATCCTCAAGGCTACCAAAGACCAACCATCGTGAAAAGAAGAAAAAAAAAATCCCAAAGAAAGTAGCAAATAAGCCTATTCAGACGTCTCTGGTGCCTGTTCGCCGCCTGTTATCAACTCCTTGGCATCTTCGGCGACCTGCTGCACCTTTTGGCCAAGACCCACGACCGCACCAGAAATATTGCGAAGTGTCTTGGACTGCGTATTCTCCGAAGAGAGGCGCGTCATCTCAGCTACGAAGCTGGCTCCCCACCAGGCACTTGTGTATTTGAAGACGTAGCGCTCGAGCTTTCGGTAGTTGGCTTCGCGCTGCTCGGGGCTCATGGTAACGGCATCGTGGATGGCGTTGGCAAGCTCCTCGGTGTTCCAAGGGTTGACAATAAGACTGCCGTTGAGCGATTGGGCGGCGCCGGTGAACTCGCTGAGAATCATGACGCCATGGTTTTCGCGCTGAGTGGCAATGTACTCGTACGAGACCAAGTTCATTCCGTCACGCGTAGATGAAACCAAGCACACATCCGAGACGGCATATAGCGCTGTGAGCTCTTCAAAGGAAACAGACTGGTGGAGGAAGTGGATGGGCATGAATTCAATGGTGCCGAACTTGCCGTTGATGCGACCAACGAGTTCGTTGACGACGGCGCGAAGGTTTTGATATTCCTCGACATCTTGTCGAGATGGAACGGCGACTTGCACAAGGACGATTTTGCCAATCCATTCAGGGTGCTCTGTCAAAAACACTTCCAGAGCATGCAATTTCTGAGGCACACCCTTGATATAATCCAGTCGGTCGACGCCCACAATCAGCTTGACACCCTCAAACTTGCGGCTGAGGGCGGCGATGCGCTCTTGGATTTTGGGTCGCTGAAGGCCTTCGACGAATTTTTCGGGGTCGATGCCGATGGGGAAAGCTCCAACGGTAACAAAGCGGCCGTTCCAATCCACGCCGTTGGGGGTAGTTGGGGTATCAAGAATTCGGGAACAGCTGCTGAGAAAATGGCGAGCATAGTCGTAGGTATGGAAGCCAATCAGGTCGCAGTCAAGGAGACCGGTAAGCAGAGCCTCTCGCACAGGCAAAATTCGATAGATTTCACTGCTGGGGAAAGGTGTGTGCAGGAAGAAGCCAATCTTGACATCCTTCTTGGAGTCTCCAAGCTCTTCTCGCAGCATCTGAGGCAGAAGCATCAGGTGGTAGTCGTGGACCCAAATAAGGTCGCCGTCCTGCACATCCTTGATGACTGTCTTCGCGAAGAGGCGGTTGACTTCTTGATATGCGCTCCACGCCGACTCGTCAAAAGTAATCTCGCCGGGGTGATAGTGGAAGAGAGGCCACAGGATAGAGTCTGCAAAGAGAAGAAACATGACGTCAATATTAATTACCTTGAGATTAAGAGGACGGGCCTATAGAAGACGGAAAGGGAAGGACTTACTAGCAAAGCCGTTATAATGTCTGTCGGCCAATTCATCGTCGATGAAAACAGGATGAGCGCCATACTCGTCTTTTAGACGGCGCTTCATGCCGTCGACCTCATTTTCAGGAACCTCAAGGCCCGGCCAGCCATACCACTGGAAGCTGGTCGTTTTGCTGAGGCCACTGAGGCCAGTGACAAGGCCACCAGACGACATGGAGAAGCTGTAGCTGCCATCGTCGGAGCGCTTGATGGTGATGGGCAGTCGGTTAGAGAGGAGGAGAAGACGGCCAGGGTTGGTCTCCCCGTCGGAACCAACAGCAGCGGGCATTGTGTCTGATTGTTTATAGCGAGATGGCAAGCTCACAGCTCGAAGTTGTCGCCGTAGCTCGTCGTTCGAGATTCGGTGTTTTGATTAGCTGAGCGAAAGATGTTCGAACTGAAGTGAAGCTATTCAGCAGGATAGTGGCGGCGCCCAACAGCCAAGGGGGCTTGGTTCGCTCGCTCGGGATGACGACAATCGAGTCGTAGCTCTGAGACGAGGGTAAAGAAGTACTACTACTAGGTAGTTGCGGGAGGCGCAAGCTCAGGAAAGTGGTTGCTATGGCGCAGAAATACTCGCAATTGTCAAGCGCAGTTATCTAGCCGGCAGACGCGAGACTTTTTCTGTGGCTTTGTTGTTTGGAGAAGCGAAGAACAGGAACCTGATTCGCGCCGGATGCTTACTTATAGCATCTCGTATCAGAAGCAAAAACCTTGGAGAGGAGAGGGGCAGTTCCAAGCAGCAGGAGGGGGAGGGGCAGATTTTAGCGGCCATTGCCCGGGCTACGGCGCATTTAGCACAGGCCTAACGCTGCATTACAGCTCCCTGACGCAGTCGCACTCGTCATTTTTTACCTCTTATATACAGGTACACGCTACTACCCAATCTACAACGTTGATGAGGGATATATTATCTGGTCTTTTCCATAAGTTGTCGGACAATTAGATGCGCTTAGACTTGTGTACTTTGCCAGATGCTGATAACAAACTCTGTGAGGCGTCAGCTGGGACGCGCAATTGTTTGTGCATGTGTCTTGTCGGAGCAAACAGTCCGTTTTGCGTCTGGAGACATGACCGATCACCGATCATTGACCTAGCAAGGCGGCGGGATCCATCAGCATGGGAAATGGCAAAAAAACATGAGTAAAGTTCGACGTTATAACATCAGCATTCTACGTCAGCCTATGGGGCAGGTACATACTTTTATTTGCTAGGCTGAAAACCCTTTTTTCCCATCTTCTCTTCTACTTGATTCATTTGGGCTGTTCATTAGGCACTGTGCTAGGTAGTATCGAGGTGCGCCAAATTCTGTTCCTGGAGGCCCTGGCCAATGGATGATTCTAGCCAAACCATGCATGAGCAGAATATTTTTTGATTGAGTGATTCACTCAACCGGGCCGAAACAATGTAAAATAACACGAGGTTAGGTCATCGATACATGTCAGGTACATGCAGAACACACGGGGTTTAAAAAGCCATGGATGTAACTTGAGTTGTTCGCATCTCGCTGCTGCAAAGCCGTAATGCGCCAAGGAACAAGACTCGTCCGAGCTCAGATCAATTTCGTCATCCGTCTTTCTCATTCTCTATAATGGAGACACGGGATACGCTCATGATGTTTATGACTCTCTCTTTGCAGAACTCTTAATTTGAGTAGCGGTGAGTCAAGAGAAGAATAAACAATACTAATAATAGTAATAATGATAATAGTAATAGAGCGTACTGTTTTTATTCAAGAAACAATATCGAAGACATGTATTCGGCGCAGCTGAATATAGGACGCAGCAGAACAACAAAGAGATCTACCCAATTTTTAGGCCTGCAGGCTGCTTGCACTACAAGATAATTAGGCCTAGAGTTGTTAGGATAGCAGAGACCCATTTTTTGCAGGTTCTCAGTCTGCCGCTAAAATTTCCTGCGACGCGACCCAACTCTGCTAATCAACAATTTTTTATCGATAAGCACTTCCTCGTTCGAGCCGTATTTTTCGCAGTCAATCGCGGCGCCGACGAGCTCATCACCCTGTCGCTTTTTGGGGGAGCGGTCGATCGTAATGGACTCGTCACAAGATTTCAATTCCCTCCAGGAGGCGATCCAAAAGTCGCTCGTCTCGACCGTCAAGTCCGCCAATCGCATCGCATCCCAAGATCTGACTTTCCAGCGCACCATCAACCCAGATGTTGCTGAGCAGCTCGATGAGAAAACATCGCGTATTCTCGACCTTTCTACCCGGCTACTAAGCTCGGCAGCTCAAGCATGTGGCCTAAAGCCGATCAAGTTGGAAGATCCCGAAGATGTAGACATGAACTGGCGCGCGGTGGTGGATGTGGTAGATTCAATCTTGGAAAAGGCCGATCGAGCGATAGACGAGTACACAGGACTTGTCAAACAGAGAGACAATGGCGATTCAGATTCTGTAAGGTTTCTCCAAACAACATGTATGGATATGACTCTAACTTTCTTCTCCAAACAAGAACTCCAAGGCGAAACAACCCAAATCAACAGGCAAGGTTATTCGCAACGCCAACGTCAAGAAGCCGCAGCTAGACTTCGAAATCCAACCTAATAATTTCTTTGATGGGCCTTGGAAGCCTATTCTAACAGAGAAGCCGCATGCAACTGTCCCCTTGGAGGAGAGCCTGGTCACGTTTGTCCGAAATGATGGCACAACTCAGTATGCTTTCCCTGCTTTCTATTCGCCGTATTGCCATATCGAGACTAATAATCTACTTCCTCGTATAGATACAGACACCCATACGAAACAGAGATATCAAGCATGCAATATCCAGACCGAATATTCCAGATCCAAGATCCGATTCAGCCCCAGCCAGATGAGACGACCTCAGCCACATGGGTTGACACCTACGAGGGCGTTCTTGCTATGCTCGAAGAGCTAAAGGAAGCTAAGGAAATCGCAGTTGATTTGGAACATCACGACTTTAGGACGTATATTGGCCTGGTCTCCTTGTTGCAGATAAGCACTCGAGAGAAGGACTGGGTTGTTGATACGCTAAAGCCGTGGCGACATAAGCTTCAGGTGCTCAACGAAGTGTTCGCGGATCCCACCATTGTCAAGGTAAATAAATGCTTTATCAAACAAATTTAGCTCATGTTGCTCACAGTTATAGGTCTTTCATGGAGCATATATGGATATGGTCTGGCTTCAGCGAGATCTTGGCCTCTATGTCAATGGCCTCTTCGACACTTTTTTCGCCAGCGATGCCTTACACTATTCGAGTCGAAGTTTGGCGTTTCTCCTATCAAAATTCGTCAACTTCAATGCTGACAAGAGATATCAACTGGCTGACTGGAGGATCAGGTATGATGCAATAGCTCATCTTCGTTTAATAATGATTTTGTTTCCCTCTTTTGCTAACACTAGCCAGGCCCCTCTCCGAGGAAATGATGTATTACGCTCGTTCAGATACCCACTACCTTCTCTACATCTATGATAAAATTCGAAACGAACTTGTTCAATCATCAGACTCTGACAAACACCTCGTCAAGCGTGTCTTGGAAAGATCACGAGAGCTGTCACTTTCACGGCATGAGAATCCTGAATGTAACGCAGAAACTGGCGAAGGGTCGAGGGGTTGGTTCAACTTTGTTTTGAAAAACTCACAACTCGGCTATAAAAGCGAGCAATTTGCTATATTTAGGGCTCTGTGGAATTGGCGAGACATTACTGCTCGCAAAGAGGATGAGAATCCCAATTTTGTGCTGGGCAACAACAATTTGACTGAAATTGTACGCGTCAACCCACCGGATGCCAAGGCCCTCCACAGCCTGCTACCGTTGAATGCATCTCTAGCTCGATCTAGGGTGAATGAGATCTGGACTCAGATGCAAGAGGAAAAAGCTCGAGGAGGCCCGAGCCTGCTACAATTTTTCTCTTCCAGAGACCCAGCAACACTACAGAGCCAGAGTGGAGTTCCGAGAGTAACCAAAACACCAAGTCAAGCTCTCAAACCCGACGCAAATGTGACAGCCGCTAAACTTGCGCGATCACAATTATTTGGCAACGTTGCCGTTAGCTCGCGGTGGGATGAGACGAAAGATTCAGCAGATGTCAAGGAAGACTACTTCCCCTTCCCTTGGCAGCGGTTCGTTGGCGATGTCGCAGATGTCGTGGTCGAAGCTGAGCCCCAGCAAGAACCTGTGGCAGCCACCCCTCCAAAAGAGGACACTACACCTGCTGCAGAAGTTGATAAAGACGAGGAATTCACGTTACGGAGAGGACAGAAGAGAAAGGCTAACGCTGTTGAGAATGACGAGTCAATATCTAGCGAAGCTGGCTCGTCTTCCGATGGCGATGAAGAGATGCAGGATGAGATTGCTAATGCCGACGCTGTCATTGAGATAGAAGATGAGGATACTCTTTCTAGGGCGGCAAAGAAAGCAAAGAAGCTAGTGAAAAAGAAGCAGCGCGAAGAGGCCCGGGCGGCTGAGGACCAGCAACGCCTAGAGCTTCGCACTAAGCGACAGGAGGAGAAACTCGCTCGCAAAGAGCAGCGGAAGAACCAACAGCAAGCGAAGAAGGAAGAGCCCACCAAGTACCAAGCTGTACCTTTTGACTACAGCAAGGCGGCCTCGGTCCTTCATGCGAAGAGAGACGAGACTAAGGAATCGGCCCAAGACGCTAAGAAGAAGGCATTTGATCCTTATGCAAAGACGGGTGATGACGAGATCAAACCCGCAAGAAAGATGCCGCCGGTTAGGGGAGAAAAGAGCGCTACATTCAAGAAATGAAGTAAGGAGTCTCATGGGGTTGTTTATAAATTTAGATTACGATAATACTTAGCTATCTATTGGAAGGAATGGAGGGAGAGAATGGCGTTGCACATAAATTGGATCATTCAGTATCTTAGGACACAGACTACCTATGTGTAGCTTTTACATTAAGAAATTACCGCAAGTTGACCAGCATTTTCAATACTGTAGTTTTAACAAAACAGGAAAAGATGGCAATTATGGAATTGCCGTTGTGAAGTCCCTCAGCGTGCTATCCAAGGAAGAAGCGCCACCTTGAAAATAGTAATACATGCAATACCAAGATTGCACGCAGTAATAATGTTGACAGAGCAGAACTATTACCACGCATCATCATCTATACCATGCCGTGGACTGAAGAGTTTCGCAGTGACTGCTATTACGTTTCCAATTTATGACCCGCGAAGAAAACTATCATTGAGTCATAGTCGCCTTTGCCCGACTGCACGAAGAGATACGGTATCCTGAACCAACGACTGCAAATGTAGCTCCATTCCGCTCAAATAGCAGGCACTGCGA